TATAAATTTCAACTAAGCAGAAAAAAGTGACAGGCCAGCATAATTGTTATTCCAAACAGGCACAGCTGCTTGCTCACCTTAATTAGATAAAATCCCAAAAGAGAAATATTCTTTTGTTCTTCGTGCTCACCTGACTCCTTCAACTTGTATACCTATCAACTCTAGAAATCATATAAGCGAAAGTGGCATGCTACCAAGATCAAATGTCAGCTTTTCCTTACATAGGCTTCACTTCCTGGTTTCCAGGCTTTATACGTTTTTTTTGCAAGAAAAATACTCTTTTTCAAAACGAAGAAATATATTAAACTTGTTTATTAAAAAGAGAAAATATAAGGAGTTTACAAAATAGGAAATGTACCAATATTTTTTTGTGTAACACCTACATATGCAAAAGCAGACAAAAAAACTAAACAAACAAAAAAGGATAATATGCTTCCTTTTTACATAGCATCTCAGAAAGATTGTTTCCAGTCCACTGCCAGATTATATGTAAAACTTATAGATTGACTATGACTATGCAATAATGAATCTATATAAATAAACATAAATAATACTGTCGCTAAATAGATTTCTTGTCCACGTTTATGTGAGATCCTTTAGCAGTGGACTGTTATTTAAATTAATCCTTTTATTTTTTGTATAATATGTTTTGCAATGAATTGGGGGTTCCTTTGTTTTTCAGTATATTCTGGAAAGCAAATACAAATACATATAATAGGAGACATACACAGTCCAATTATATACACAATGGTATACCCATGAGAGATATAAAGTACAATTATAAATTAACAATGAATGCACCAAAATAATCAACCTCAGAGCAGCACACAACTGCTGTTTTCTTCTTGGAGCTCTGAAGTTTGACTAAACTAATATATAGCGTAAGCTTTACAAACAGAAATATCATCTTGGTGATAACTCTTGCTAGCATATCTATATATAAAAAGGGCTCTCTTGCAACTTTACATCTCATGTATAGATATTCTTCAAGAAAACAAAACCATAGCAATATAGCACAGATAGAATTTATTTTAATGCAAGGAAGCACTTTTATCAAGACAATTCTATAAGTACAAATGTATTTTACAGTGAATATAAAATTAAAAGAGTTTGATGATATCATTGACCAGGTATGTCCGACAAAATACGTCCGATCAAACATGCACTTACCTGATCGCTTACAATCCCCTGCTGGCGATCGCGATATAGAGTCTTGCTTGGCATCCCAGGCAGTCCCCCTGCAGCTGATCCAGTACCCCCAGGCCATGTGATTGTGGGGTCCTCATGATCACATGGCCGGAATTGCCGGCTTGTGCAGTGCCTTCACAGGGAGGGCCTGACCTCAGGCTGTCCCCCTTATGCCTGCAAAAAAGTTTTAAAAGTTAATAAAAGTTGTTACAAAGTTCAATAAAGTAAATAAAAGTACTTAAATTATATATATATATATATATATATATATATATATATGTATGTGTGTGTGTGTGTGTATGTATATATATGTATATGGCATTAATCCTGAGGAAAGCCCAGGGTGAGGGCTGAAACATCAATCTTTTTATGACACATACCTAATAAATTAATTTTTTTACTACAGTTCTTACTTCCATGCTCTGTTGATTGATATGCAATAAGGAACGCAAAACAATTTAGACTCTATTTCAGGTAGAGTTTCAGGTGTGTATTTTAACCAGGGTAGGTGTGACTAAGGCTACATAAACAAAGTGATTTAATTTCAAAATGGCTGAAAACCGAGCAATAAGTCTAAGAGGCATGGTCATTACACAAAAAATATTTCTTTCATTAAGCTAAAGGTGCTGTGGTGCTTTGAGTATCTCTTAACTCCAAAGTTATCAGGAAGAATAGGTGAGTTAGATCATTTTTACAGTTTAGTTATTTTGACCTTACATTAAATATTCACTTTGAATTCCCTCTTTAGTGAATAGCCCGGTATGTCAGGGCTAAACTCAAGCCAAGCGGAATTATAAACAATGTTGAAGTGTTATGGTTCTGATGGAATTTAAACCATGGAGTCATACAATGCAGGTTTTCTACTGGATGTCCTGTATTACAGTGAAATTGTGTTTGACATGTGTTTACCTTTATAATAGAATATCTGCTACCAGGGGAATTAGAGCTTTTTCTTCTACCTTCCTTGAGAATGTCAGATGTAACTAGCTATCCAACCAATGAAGAGCCAGTCCTTAAGAATCTATGGGTATGTAAACTCAGACTTCAAAAATCTCAATGCCATAAGGGAAACAATTGTATGTTGTGGGATAAATTAATTTTAATAACATAAACAAACTACATGTATACAATATGATAGCATTAATACTGAACATATTTAAAGGTTGATTGACGCCTTAAAGGTACACTATAGTCACCAAATCAACTTTAGAATAATAAATCAGTTTTGGTGTCCCTGTAGTCTCACTGCTCAATTCACTGCCATTTATGAGTTAAATCACTTTTTCATTTCTGTTTATGCAGCCGTAGCCACACCTTCTCTGGTTTCATTTTCAATCAGATGCATTTTACGTTAAACTTGTTTATCTCCTTCTCTGTAAACTGAACTTTTATTACATACTGGTGACTCTTGCAGGGTCTACCAAGTTATTAACAGAGTAGGAGATACAAAATTCTAAATTAAACCGAATTTTCAATGAAGGAAGTGGAAACATTAGATGACTCTTTAAAAAAGCTGTGTAAGTCACATGCAGGTAGGTGTGACTATAGCTTCATAAACAAAGTAAGGCATCTCAAGGAAGATGCACCTCCAACCCGCTACATGCTGAGACACTCCCGCACCTTGTCAGACTTCCTCAATTATAAATTCACTTTGTGTTCATATAGCACAGCCCTCATCCTTGCTAAACAATTCTACTTTTCTTCTCTTGATAGTTTATGCTCACAGAAACCCAGGTGTCTTTTTAATACCTTCAACAATCTCCTTTGCTCACCTCAAACCACTCCTCAAATTGACCTTTCAGCAGATAGCCTTGCATGCTGCTTTACCGACAAGATTGGGCTTACTGACAAGATTGCAGGCAGTCTCCCCACAACGGGAGCAACGCTGATCGCTGCCGGGGGAACAACGGCGATCAGGTAAGTATATTGGACCATTAGGTCAGTTCAGGACCGTCACTGGTCGGCAATGCAAAAATGCCGATGACGGTCCTGAACCGTCCTCGGTCCTTAAGGGGTTAAACATGAAGTGCAATAAGGGAAACAAAAACATTATGTAGGGTGGCTATTTAAGTCACAATCAATGAAGATGTGCTTAGGGCTACATAAACAAAGTCAATTAACTCCTAATCATCATAAATAAACATTTAGTTTGCAGGGCGTGGTCTTTACACTAAAACTGCTTTCCTAAGTTAAGTTGTTTTAGTGTTTAGATTGTCCCTTTACTCTTATAAAGAATATGAAATGGTAAGATCTGTTTGTGCTAGTAACTTGTGATTCTGTATTGTTGTATACATCAATACCACACCATAAAGGTTGTGAAGCAATATTTATTTTTTTACAAAATCGTTTAGTTAAGAAAGCAAAGCAATATGGATAGATAAAAGCAATTACCACTAAAATTATGAGTAGATGAGTGACAGTTTCCATAAGGAATGAACGACCAATGTATCCGGTCCATAAATAGCAAAATTAATATGAAATTAAAGGATGTGCAAAGCACTGTAACCACTTCAACCTGCTGTAGTACTTATAGTTCCATGAGTCCCCAGGCACTGACCCAATGTTGTCAAATGGCTACACTTACCTGGGGGCCTACTACTGCCCCTATTTATAGTTTGCTAAAATGGAAACTCTTCTTCCACCTTACCCAGGGCCGTCTTTAACGCGGGGCAAACGGGGCAGCTGCCCCGGGCCCAGTTGCTCCTGGGGGCCCAGAGCAGCTGCTCTGTGGGCCCCGCGATTTGCGCAGCCCCTGCGGTGCGGCTCCCGCACACTGAGGAGGCTCCCCGGGTGGCCCATGCACTAAGGGCCACCCGGGGAGCATGTGTCAGCAGGGGCCCGGTCGGGCGCTGTGGCGCTTAAACAGCGCGACCGGGCCCCTCTTCCGGTTCTGCAGCCGGCTGGGAGGAAGTGACGTCACTTCCTCCCACCGGAGATAATGGCCGCGCGGAAGGAGGAAGGCAGGGAGGAGGGGAGTTCCAGAGGAGAACTCCCATCTGCCTCAGCCTGCCACTGGACCAGGGAAACCACCCTCCAGAAAAAGGTAAGAACCTGGAGGGTGGCTAAATGTATGTCAGTAGGTCTGTCTGTGTGTGTATGTCTGTGCGTGCGTGTAAGTCAGTATGTCTGTGTGTGTGTGTGTGTGTGTCGTATGTCTGTGTGTGTGTGTGTGTCAGTATGTCTGTGTGTGTATGTGTCTGTGTGTGTATGTCTGTGTGTGTGTGTCAGTATGTCTGTGTGTGTGTGTGTGTCAGTATGTCTGTGTGTGTGTCGGTATGTCTGTGTGTGTATGTAGGTATGTCTCTGTGTGTGTGTATGTAGGTATGTCTCTGTGTGTGTGTGTGTGTGTATGTGTGTGTCAGTATGTCTGCCAGGATATATTTGTGTGTCAGTGTATGTGTGTGTCAGTATGTATCTGTGAATGTTTTAATGTCTGTCTGTGTGTATGTGCCAGTACGTCTGTCTGTGTGTATGTCCGTATGTCTGTGTGTGTGTGTGCTTTCCTCAGTATGTCTGTGTGTGTATGTGTCAGTATGTCTGTGTGTGTATGTGTCAGTATGTCTGTGTGTGTGTGTGTGTGTCAGTATGTCTATGTGTGTATGTGCTGGGGTATGTCTGTGTGTGTGTGTGTCAGTATGTCTGTGTGTGTGTATCTCTGTGTGTGTGTATGTCTGTGTGTGTGTGTGTCAGTATGTCTGTGTGTTTGTGTCAGTATGTGTGTCAGTATGTCTGCCAGGATATATTTGTGTGTCAGTGTATGTGTGTGTCAGTATGTATCTGTGAATGTTTTAATGTCTGTCTATGTGTATGTGCCAGTACGTCTGTCTGTGTGTATGTCAGTATGTCTGTGTGTGTGTGTCAGTATGTCTGTGTGTGTATGTAAGTATGTCTGTGTGTGTATGTGTGTGTCAGTCAGTATGTCTGTCAGTGTATGTGTCTGTGTGTGTATGTATGTATGTCTGTGTGTGTGTGTGTGTCAGTATGTCTGCCAGGATATATTTGTATGTCAGTGTATGTGTGTGTCAGTATATATCTGTGAATGTTTAATGTCTGTCTGTATCAGCCATTACGTCTGTCTGTGTATATGTCAGTATGCCTGTGTGTGTGTGTCAGTGTGTATGTCAGTATGCCTGTGTGTGTGTGTCAATGTGTCTGTCAGTGTATGTGTCTGTGTGTTTTAGTATATCTGTCAGTGTATGTGTTTGTGTGTGTGTCAGTCTATCTGTTAATGTATGTGTCTGTGTATGTATGTATGTATGTCTGTGTGTGTGTCAGTATATCTGCCAGAATATATTTGTGTGTAGTGACTGTGTGTGTCAGTATGTATCTGTGAATGTTTTAATGTCTGTCTGTGTGTGTATGTGCCAGTACGTCTGTCAGTGTGATTGCGGGTTGGACGTAATTGGGGGGTGAGGCAGTGGCAGGGACAGGGCCCATGGGGCCCAAGAAAATGCATTGCCCAGGGTCCTAATCATATTATAGACGGCCCTGACCTTACCAATTATCTTTTGCCCAACATGAAACAGAATTTATTTGCTGAAGAGTGTCAGCTGCCTTCATCCAATACATTCAGTCCAAAAAGAGGCAGAATTGATAGCACTAATGGTAGAAATAGGAACTTCTGATATAGTCATATATCTGCAGAGGGTGTGGATTCAATTAAATGTGAAACCTCTTTTTAATTCTAAACAGTCAAATTGCACCAGAGGACTACTTATAACATGCTGTAGTAAACAAATGGTGCTGATAAAAATATTTACCTAAGGGGAAGATGGGAGATGTCGTCCATCAATTATAATAAGCACTGATAAGCATTGTCAGGACTGGATATAGAGCTGTACTCAGAATGATATCCTACAATCAATGGTCCCATTTGAGCTGCGCAAAATTTACATTATCAAGCAAAATTAGGTAGTTCTGTTCTTAATGCAATCACCTTTGTAAGCAGTGCATTTTTCTAAAATAAAATTAGTTTAACTAAATGATCCACTCAGTATAGGTGATGACAATTAAATTGACCTCTTCTTGACACTCAAATATGAAACATCAACCCTGAATTTAATGTGACTCTTTCAGAGAAGTGGAGTTTCTTAATGTACATAAACAGACCTTCTTCTCAAATTCCCATGTTTTGAGATGTAAGACAATATAAGACAGCAATCCAAGATCACATGAGGGATTCCAGTTGCCCTTACTCTACTCATTTCTCTGACCCAACTGCTGCTGTTGCCCACATATCTAAAGCCCCATATTCTTGCTTATGCCTATGATACTTATCAAACTTTTGAATATCTGCTGTGGAAAAGCTTTATTTTTGTTTGTTTATTGATGTAGTTGATGATGTGTCATATAATTTATTGTATACAACAGTGCTCCTCAGCCTTCTCCTCAAGGCACACCTTACTGTCCAGGATTCAGAGATTAGGTGTCTAAGGTGTGAAAAAAAAAATCTTAGACTATAAGGTGTTTTTTTTTTTATAAACACCTTAGACACACCTTGGTAATTCCTAAATCCTTGAATGTTAGGTGTGCCTTGAGGAGAGGGTTGAGGAGCACAGGTATCCAATAAATATATTATCATATCACGTACATAGAATTAAGAAAAAAAACTAATGGTGTACATGATACTCAAGTAACATTAGATAAGGTTAATAGGTATGTCATATAATTTGTATTGTGAAGCAACAAACAATAAGTCTGGCAAATCATTAACTAATGCTGACTTTGTTTGAGGTGAAAAGTACATCTAAAGAGATGAGAGGCATGTGTTCAATTAGTCTACAAATCAGACTCAATGAAAATCTAAAGAAAACGTTTAAATCATGCTATCACCTGTAACTAACCTAGAGCCCTTCTCAGGATGAACAAATTACATATCACATATTGTAAAATAAATATGTGCAGAGACATCTAAATCATTTTTAAAAAGACAAAAATTAACGATCAATCATAGCGCAATATGGACACATTGTAACTATTTAACAGCCTTGGCACTACATAAATAAAAGAATATCAGAACGTGTATTTTGAACCATGAATGACTACCTAGAACAACAATTTTGTGTAAAGATTTTTATTCAGGTATATATACACTGCTCAAAAAAATAAAGGGAACACTTAAACAACACAATGTAACTCCAAGTCAATCACACTTCTGTGAAATCAAACTGTCCACTTAGGAAGCAACACTGAGTGACAATCAATTCCACATGCTGTTGTGCAAATGGGATAGACAACAGGTGGAAATTATAGGCAATTAGCAAGACACCCCCAATAAAGGAGTGGTTCTGCAGGTGGTGACCACAGACCACTTCTCAGTTCCTATGCTTCCTGGCTGATGCTTTGGTCACTTTTGAATGCTGGCGGTGCTTTCACTCTAGTGGTAGCATGAGACGGAGTCTAAAACCCACACGTGTGGCTCAGGTAGTGCAGCTCATCCAGGATGGCACATCAATGCGAGATGTGGCAAGAAGGTTTGCTGTGTCTGTCAGCGTAGTATCCAGAGCATGCAGGCACTACCAGGAGAAAGGCCAGTAAATCAGGAGACGTGGAGGAGGCCGTAGGAGGGCAACAACCCAGCAGCACGACCGCTACCTCCGCCTTTGTGCAAGGAGGAACAGGAGGAGCACTGCCAGAGCCCTGCAAAATGACCTCCAGCAGGCCACAAATGTGCATGTGTCTGCTCCAATGGTCAGAAACAGACTCCATGAGGGTGGTATGAAGGCCCGACGTCCACAGGTGGGGGTTGTGCTTACAGCCCAACACTGTGCAGGATGTTTGGCATTTGCCAGAGAACACCAAGATTGTCAAATTCACCACTGGCGCCCTGTGCTCTTCACAGATGAAAGCAGGTTCACATTGAGCACATGTGACAGACGTGACACAGTCTGGAGACGCAGTGGAGAACATTCTGCTGCCTGCAACATCCTCCAGCATGACCGGTTTGGCAGTGGGTCAGTAACGGTGTGGGGTGGCATTTCTTTGCAGGGCAGCACAGCCCTCCATGTGCTTGCCAGAGGTAGCCTGACTGCCATTAGGTACCGAGATGAGATCCTTAGACCCCTTGTAAGACCATATGCTGGTGCAGTTGGCCCTGGGTTCCTCCTAATGCAAGACAATGCTAGACCTCATGTGGCTGGAGTGTGTCAGCAGTTCCTGCAAGACGAAGGCAAGACGAAGGCATTGATGCTATGGACTGGCCCGCCATTTCCCCAGACCTGAATCAAATTGAGCACATCTGGGACATCATGTCTCGCTCCATCCACCAATGTCACGTTGCACCACAGACTGTCCAGAGTTGGCAGATGCTTTAGTCCAGGTCTGGGAGGAGATCCCTCAGGAGACCATCCGCCACCTCATCAGGAGAATGCACAGGCATTGTAGGGAGGTCATACAGGCACGTGGAGGCCACACACACTACTGAGCCTCATTTTGACTTGTTTTAAGGACATTACATCAAAGTTGGATCAGCCTGTAGTGTGTTTTTCCACTTTAATTTTGAGTGTGACTCCAAATCCAGACTTCCATGGGTTGAAAAATTTGATTTCCATTTTTTAATTTTTGCGTGATTTTGTTGTCAGCACATTCAACTATGTAAAGAACAAAGTATTTCAGAAGAATATTTAATCTAGGATGTGTTATTTTTGTGTTCCCTTTATTTTTTTGAGCAGTATATATATATATATATATATATATATATATATATATATATAATCAAAATGATTCAACCCCCGTAGAAAATCAGGTTTATTACAGACTTTCAGCTGTTTGCAATGCACAAATCAAATAAAAGCAATTAAAATAGCTCAACATAATGAATGCTTAAAGTGGTTTACCCAAATTCAACTGAAAATGCAACTTATAAAGACTTCTCCAGTCTCAAAATTATTTAATACCTTCAGTGCAAGCATCTTTAGTACTTAGTAGAGCCCCCTTTTACTGTTACGACCTGCTGCATACAAGATGCATAGCCAGACTTCAGCTTCTGGCCCCATTTCTGAGGAATCTTAGCCCAATTATAATCCTATAAGCATGTTATAAGGAGTCCCCTGGTGCTATCATTTTTTAGGAGATGTACCTTCCACAGATGACATCAAGATATTAAAATACTGTCTGTATATACAAAAACTACTGCTTACAGCTTACATACCTAGCTAAAACCAGTTATCTATATTATTCAGAGCATTGCATGTGGTCCCTGAAATGCCCAGAACCCTCTGTTCTTCCAAATAGACTGTAGCTTAATGAAGCAACTGTATAATTTGAAACCCTAGCACTTCTAAAGTATAGATCTATCAGTGTAAAGCAATAATAATAATAATTTGATCCATAGACAAAATAACGTGATTTTTTTTAAATTAAATACATTTTACTTTATGATGTTTTACCTGTGTTCCTGATTCTTAAATAAATGAGTATTTTCTTAAGCAACACTGATTTTCTTTTTTTTTATTCTTCCAAATTTTAATTTTTCATTTGGGAAATTCAAGTATTTCAATAAGTAGAATGTAAAACTTATGTTTAAAGTATTTAAAATGCTGAGGTCTGTAATGCAATTTTGCAATAACCAAAAAATAAAAAAGTTTGCAAACGCAACATAAGTGCCTTTATGAGTAAGCGGACTTCTGTGAATAGGACATTAAAAGCTGTTTACTTTAATGTCTTCTATAAACGAGATAAACAATATGGAAATTCAGAAGTTACTTTCAGTAACAAATTGTTACTTGACACATTTCCTAATCATAATAAGACACTCTAGGGCAGCAATGTTTTTGCAATAATTGTGCCTCTCAAGTGATTTAAGATGCTAAGGCAGCATCCTAAACTCTGACAATACACCTGAGGGATACATTCAGGGCACAACAAATCAGCATCCTGTTGTTCCTCATTGCTCAATTAACTGTTATTATGAATGACAAAATCATATGGTAAAAGAAAATGAAGAAATTAATACAACAGCTTCCTTCCATAAAAAACACCTTTGGGACTGAATAAGGATCTCATAAACATAAAAGCTTATGCAACAGGAATAATT